TCGATAAGTAATTATCGATAAGGGTCAAAATCGAATCGATAAATCGAATGCACACCCCTAGATACGCGGTCGTTGCAAATATAATCCGGTCTAAAAGTCCGGAGTCGAATCCCACAGAGAACTAAGGTTTAGCTACAATTGTTCAGTATTGCTAAGAAATACAAGTTCAAATAATTTCCTATTTATAAAGATTGTAATTTTTATTTTAAACTAATTAATTAACAAATACTAAAGCATTAAAATTATCAACTAATAAGTCTAAGGGTTGGAGACAAGATTAAGGAGGTCTAGAGTTATTATTTCCCCAATTGTCGGAATTCTCCTCGCTACGTTTTCTATAATTTCGCCTAAGTATTCTCAACCGATCGTGAGTATTTCGGGTGTCGTAATTCTCTTCTGAGCAACTACCACAATTTACTAGGCGTATTCTTCTGAACTACGCTAACTGGCACTAATTCACCCTTACTCCCACCTTTAAATCATCTATGTTAATTCCTCAGATACATTAGGAGTGATGTTGTTCAACAACTACCTAAATATATACCCTTCCAAGTAATACATACTAAATAGGCACAGTCAATTGATGGCCATTCAATCAACAACAATAAACATGTAGTTGAACAAGTAGAGAAATCCAACGGCTCAATTATATAAAAACGTAATAAGACTTCATCCTACAAAAGGTTCCATCAAAACCAAAAATAACAAATTAGCTATTCATAATAGTTTGCAGAACTACAATACTAGAATTCATAACTAATAATGAAAATAGGAAGAAGGAAGTGAAAAACTCGTATAAGAATTCTCCGCCTTGCTCCTAGTGTGTTCTTGCCTCCTTAAGTTGAATCCCCTCTCAAAAACGTCTCTCTTTCTTAGACATGTTAAGGAGTATTTATAGGCTAGGGTTGAAGTCTTTGAGTCCAAATTTGGGTTGGAGTCTTTTAATTCACGCACTTTTGATCACCGTGCTATAGACCTTGCGAGGCAAGGCTTATAGCGCGGTCAGCCTGGCCTGTAGCGCGGTCAAGCTGGCTATGCTTGGTCTGTAGCACGGTAGAGGAGGCTATAGAGCTGGCTATGCTTGTCCTATAGCCAGGCTTGGATACTTTGTGATTTTGTGCTCTTTTCTTGCATTTTCGTCCTCTTTTCGTGCAACTTTCATTCGACTTTTTTTTCCGATGCTCCTACACATAAATCTGTATAGGGTCAAGTTTGACCAACCCCGTCCTCAAAATGGACACGACCTGTCGTGTGGACAAAGGTCGGGCCCAGGGACGACCATGTAATCACGTCGGTCCCTCTGTAACGTGCATTTTATCTTTAGTTTATATATTTTATCTTTATATTGTAAATAGGAAATAAGGGGAAATCCCTCCGTTATATAAGGGGGGTTCCCAACTGTGTAAAGGGAGGATTTTTTGATCAATAACATTTCTACTTACTCTCTCTATCTCTCTGTCTCAATTTCTATCTCTCTCTTTCTCTGAAAAACGGATACCTCGGATCTTTGTAACATTATCACGCAACTTTGTCCTTTAACTGCTCCGAATCACCAAACCACAAAGGATTACTCATACTCTAGTGTTGATTATCTTTGATTACGATTTACCTCTTCATCTCTTTGATTTATTTGCTTAAAAAGTGTTTAATAACTTTTGAGTCAAACAATCTATAGGGATTTCGATAATCAAAGTCATAGTTCACATCTAGAGTATCAGAAACAACGGTCATTATCCGCCAAACTCAGTAGAACCAGAAATGGCAAACAGAGAATCTAAGTTAAAAATGATAGCCGATGTCTCAACCAACCTGATGGGTCCCCTCAACGAGGCCAGTAGAGAAGANTCTTTCTCTGAAAAACGGATACCTCGGATCTTTGTAACATTATCACGCAACTTTGTCCTTTAACTGCTCCGAATCACCAAACCACAAAGGATTACTCATACTCTAGTGTTGATTATCTTTGATTACGATTTACCTCTTCTCCATATATTTGATTGATTTGCTTAAACACTGTTCGTTAACTTTTTAAGCCAAACAGTATTCTACAATGTTTATGTTAAAGTTGATACGTTTGGGGGCACGGATTACGAGTTGATTCAATATTTTATTGGTTCAATTATTAAAGGAAGAGGTGTTGATTTTCTAGATTCAGCTTTAGGAGAACTCTTTTAAGCATTGTCACTCGTCAGTCGTCAAATAAATTTGCCATTTTTTCCTCTCCTTTCACATGGATTAATTGCAAATTTGAGGCCACTTCTGAATCACTTTTAAATTAAAATCATTTATGAGGAGAACATATCACATATAGGGAACTTTATGTCTTTGGATGTGTTTGGCATGAAGGAAATCTTTTCCTAGTAAATAATTGATTATCTTACTAATTTTTTTTATATTTCGCTAGTATGCAATATATATATAT